ACTCTGTTCACTGTCCTATAGGTGGCATACTCCAGACTACCCCACTCTGTTCACTGTGCTATAGGTGACGTACTCCAGACTGCCCCACTCTGTTCACGGTGCTATAGGTGACATACCTTAGACTGCCCCACTCTGTTCAGTGTGCTATAGGTGACATACTCCAAACTGTCCCACTCTGTTCACTGTGCTATAGGTGACATACACCAGACTGCCCCACTCTGTTCACTGTCCTATAGGTGGCATACTCCAGACTACCCCACTCTGTTCACTGTGCTATAGGTGACATACCCCAGACTGCCCCACTCTGTTCATTGTATTATAGGTGACATACTCCAGACTGCCCCACTCTGTTCACTGTGCTATAGGTGACATACCCCAGACTGCCCCACTCTGTTCATTGTATTATAGGTGACATACCCCAGACTGCCCCACTCTGTTCACTGTGCTATAGGTGACATACTCCAAACTGCCCCACTCTGTTCATTGTATTATAGGTGACATACTCCAGACTGCCCCACTCTGTTCACTGTGCTATAGGTGACATACTCCAAACTGCCCCACTCTGTTCATTGTATTATAGGTGACATACTCCAGACTTCCCCACTCTGTTCAGTGTGCTATAGGTGACATACTCCAAACTGCCCCACTCTGTTCACTGTGCTATAGGTGGCATATTCCAAACTGCCCCACTCTGTTCACTGTGCTATAGGTGACATACACCAGACTGCCCCACTCTGTTCACTGTCCTATAGGTGACGTACACCAGACTGCCCCACTCTGTTCACTGTCCTATAGGTGGCATACTCCAGACTACCCCACTCTGTTCACTGTGCTATAAGTGACATACCCCAGACTGCCCCACTCTGTTCACTGTGCTATAGGTGACATACTCCAAACTGCCCCACTCTGTTCACTGTGCTATAGGTGGCATATTCCAAACTGCCCCACTCTGTTCACTGTCCTATAGGTGACGTACACCAGACTGCCCCACTCTGTTCACTGTCCTATAGGTGGCATACTCCAGACTACCCCACTCTGTTCACTGTGCTATAAGTGACATACCCCAGACTGCCTTACTCTGTTCACTGTGCTATAGGTGACATACCCCAGACTGCCCCACTCTGTTCACTGTGCTATAGGTGACATACTCCAGACTGCCCCACTCTGTTCAGTGTGCTATAGGTTACATACTCCAGACTGCCCCACTCTGTTCACTGTGCTATAGGTGACATACTCCAAACTGCCCCACTCTGTTCACTGTGCTATAGGTGGCATACACCAGACTGCCCCACTCTGTTCACTGTTCTATAGGTGGCATACTCCAGACTACCCCACTCTGTTCACTGTGCTATAGGTGACATACCCCAGACTGCCTTACTCTGTTCACTGTGCTATAGGTGACATACCCCAGACTGCCCCACTCTGTTCACTGTGCTATAGGTGACATACCCCAGACTGCCCCACTCTGTTCACTGTGCCATAGGTGACATATCCCAGACTGCCCCACTCTGTTCACTGTGCTATAGGTGACATACCCCAGACTGCCCCACTCTGTTCACTGTGCTATAGGTGACATACTCCAAACTGCCCCACTCTGTTTACTGTGCTATAGGTGACATACTCCAAACTGCCCCACTCTGTTCATTGTATTATAGGTGACATACTCCAGACTTCCCCACTCTGTTCACTGTGCTATAGGTTACATACTCTAGACTGCCCCACTCTGTTCACTGTGCTATAGGTGGCATACTCCAAACTGCCCCACTCTGTTCACTGTGCTATAGGTGGCATACTCCAAACTGCCCCACTCTGTTCACTGTGCTATAGGTGGCATACTCCAAACTGCCCCACTCTGTTCACTGTGCTATAGGTGGCATACTCCAAACTGCCCCATACTCTGCTCTACCCCACTCTATACACTGTGCTGTAAGTGACATACTCTGGTCTACCCCAATCTATACACTGTGCTATAAGTGACATACTCTGGTCTACCCCAATCTATACACTGTGCTGTAAGTGACATACTCTGCTCTACCCCAATCTATACACTGTGCTGTAAGTGACATACTCTGGTCTACCCCAATCTATACACTGTGCTGTAAGTGACATACTCTGGTCTACCCCACTCTATACACTGTGCTATAAGTGACATACCCTGGGGTATCCCACTCTATTCACTGTGCTGTAACATTCATAGACTTGCATTGGGAGAAGAATCAGTAAATATTCACCACTGTGTAACACTGCAAAGCAGGAAGCAGAGCCTGAGTATGTAATGAGCAAATATGTCTGCCCCCATGTACATATATAGTGACAAATCATTACACAGAAACAAGGTTTTCCAAACATGACCGTGTGCTGATAAGATGATTTCTATCAAGCTGATCTCTATTACCCGCTTATCCTACAAATAAACCAACACACTGACATGGACTAACATTCCCTTTAAGTTCCCTCGATGACGTGTCAGCAATCCATGTGATGATCCAGCTACGGCACCCTGCTGGAGATCATAATGCAGCGGCCTTCTAATCCCGCACTATCACACTATCGCAGCGACCACATCGCTCTGCTAACAAATAAAAGGATCGCAATAGTTAAGCATCTGGATGAAATCACAGTCCGGGGATTTGGAGTGTTTATCCACACTGATTGCCATGCACAAGACTTCAGCCCTCCCAAACACTGACCAGCGAGTTTTACTTGGCTGTATTGTGCGGTTCTTAGAGAGTCGCTGCCTTCAGCTGCAAATCATTTAAGAATCTGATGCATTTTATTATATTTGTGTCCAGTTGGGAGATCGCTGAGGATAGGGGATAGAGTAATGGGGGTGACATATGTGTCTCATTCTTCAGGATGTAGTGTGAAGGAGCAAAAGAGGCCCTTGGCTATTATTTTGTCTTTTTTGCAGTTTATGTTTTTTATGTCTAAGGCAGGCCATACATTATCCACTTCTCGACCGCCAATGGTAGAACTACTGCTACACGGCGGCAGGGCTGCGTAAAATCACGCATGTGTATATATATATATATATATATATATATATAAAAATAAATATATTTCTATATATATAAATAAATATATTTATATATATATATATATATATATATATATATATATATATATACGTGATTTTGCACAGCCCTGCCGCCATGTAGCAGTAGTTCTGCCATAGGGGGGTCAGGAAATGGATATATATATATTTATATATATATAGAAATAAATATATATATATTATATATATAGAGAGAGAGAGAAATATATATATATGATTTTGTATCTCTAGGTAGGGGGCTACCCTAACCTCCCGCTCCCCTCCCTGGAAATCCAGGCAAACAGTTACATGCACAGACAGCACACATAAAGGGAACTGTTTAATATCCATCTGATTCTGACATTTATACAGCTCTGTCACACTACAAATGCCTGTTGGACAGAAGAGGAGACCTGATTTTTCTCTGCTGCAATTCAATAACACATATAGTTCTCCTTCCCTAACCAGTCTGTGACTGGACAGTGAAAACAGAAGTAGCAAACCAATAACTTTAACATTGTCACTCTGCTCTCTTCTTCTATCAGCATACTTGTTGCATTGTAACAAACCTGATTGGCTCCTTGTGCTGCCTCTGTCTCCCCAAGTCAGAGCTTTGCCTCACAGGGACAACAAGTCTTACAGTGGCTGTGCAGCAGAGCTTTGATGGTGGAAGAGAGAAGCAGCACAAGGAGTTACTCTGTTGTGTTGCAGTAGTGCAAGACACTGAAATTGGAAGACACAACTGCGTGCATATAAAAAAAATACATTTAAAGTGGAATTTTACCCATAACAACTTGATAAAAACCCGACTTCGAAGTCGTGCGATTTCGCTGTAAGTCGCACGATTTCAAAGTAGGGTTTGATGTGACCGGGGTGTAAGTCACATTTCCAGCGGGTACATATTATTGGATAGTTTACCTGACATATTTTGAATATGACTTTGTCATTTGTTCATGGTGACTGCGTCCTATTTTTGTGATGATACTCCATACACGCAACTACATATTCTCCTTGTAGTTCCTAGCTGTATGTTTTATGTCCTTTGCTAAACAGCTGATGAGATCAAAGCAATTGAATGATAAGCCACAGAGAGAGAGTCTTGTATACAATGAATTAAGTTGCCCTTGAGCTGGCTCTAAAAGGCAGATTTATAAAATGGGTGTTAGTCCAGCCATAGTTCTGTACTACGAGTGGCAGCAGGTGCAAAGTGGTTGGCCTGTTTCAAAAGCTTGGAGCAAGAGTAGATGAACAAGGGCGGAGGGCCCCCACAGGAATCAATGGCACATTGTTGGAAAATTCAGCAATTGGTCATTTCAAGGAGAAGAGTTAAACTTGTTTTCCCATAGATCAGTCTCAGGGTAGTGCTAATCCTGCTGGCAGCTCCCATTCACACTGACGGTTCATTCCTGACTGCTGCCAGTTATGTGCCACTGATTCACCCGGCCACACCACGTCACAGCCCTGAGATGGGGCAGCAGCTGCAGGGACAACTGTGCAATGATCCACTGAGATCTCGTATAAAGCGGAAAGATGGATTTCATGTTCTCGTGTAGGAGACGGCTGGTTCAACAAGGCGGTGTAAAGAGCAGTGACTATGTACAAAGCGTGCCAAACAATAGTAATCACCCAGATTTATAATGTGCTGAAGCCATATCCCTAAACAATGAGTTCTGATAGGTTACTGCAAGATGCTTATTACTTTTGTGTATCACAGTAAGGCCATTGTAAGGTGTGTGTATGTATATATATATGTATGTATGTATATATAGTTCTCCAGAATCTCTCTCATCCTCTGGAACTCCCTACCCCAATATGTCTGATTACCTTCTACCCCAGTGTTTCTCAAACTTTTTTTCAGTCAAGGCACCCTTTAAAATGATGGACAGTCCCGAGGCCCCCTTTTAAAATGATGGACAGTCCTGAGGCACCCTCTAAAATTATGGACAGTCCCGAGGCACCTTCTAAAATGATGGACAGTCCCGAGGCACCCTCTAAAATTATGGACAGTCCAGAGGCACCCTTTAAAATGATGGACAGTTCCGAGGCACCTTCTAAAATTATGGACAGTCCCGAGGCACCTTCTAAAATTATGGACAGTCCAAAGGCACCCTTTAAAATGATGGACAGTTCCGAGGCACCCTTTAAAATGATGAACAGTCCCGAGGCACCCTCTAAAATGATGGACAGTTCCGAGGCACCTTCTAAAATTATGGACAGTCCCGAGGCACCTTCTAAAATTATGGACAGTCCAAAGGCACCCTTTAAAATGATGGACAGTTCCGAGGCACCCTTTAAAATGATGAACAGTCCCGAGGCACCCTCTAAAATGATGGACAGTCCCGAGGCACCCTTTAAAATTATGGACAGTCCCGAGGCACCCTCTAAAATGATGGACAGTCCCGAGGCACCCTTTAAAATGATGGACAGTTCCGAGGCACCTTTTAAAATGATGGACAGTTCCGAGGCAACCTTTAAAATGATGGACAGTCCCAAGGCCCCTTTTTAAAATGATGGACAGTCCCAAGGCACCCTCTAAAATGATGGACAGTCCCAAGGCACCCTCTAAAATGATGGACAGTCCCGAGGCACCCTTTAAAATGATGGACAGTCCCGAAGCACCCTTTAAAATGATGGACAGTCCCGAAGCACCCTTTAAAATGATGGACAGTCTTGAGGCACCCCTACCTGTGCCCTTCGCTCCTCACAGGACCTCCTACTCTCTAACTCCCTGGTCTCCTCCTCCCACGCCCAACTCCAGGACTTCTCCAGGACTTCCCCCATCCTCTGGAACTCCCTACCCCAATCCATCAGACTGTCACCTACCCTCCTCACCTTCAGGCACGCCTGGACGTGATACTTTTTTAATTTGCACTGACATACAATTTTGATAACAAGTTTTCGGGGTATGTCCCCTTCTTCAAGGTCCAGGCAGTACTACTTCACAAAGTTTTAGCAGAATGTTAAAAGATGTTGAAAGGGGGAGAAACACTGGATATTAGTAGAATGGTTTTAACAGAACTGATTTTTCTCTGAAATTAAAGATGTTATTGTCAGTGAAACACTGCGCAAATAGAAACTCTCTAATCTACATTTTGAATCCTTATGCTGCTCGCATTAGTAAATAGATAGGAAAATACTGTAAATCATAGTTACTTGTTTTAAACAGTTTTTTTTTTTACATTTCTTTAGATACTTCCTGGTTTTCATGCCTAGGCAAATGATGTCATACATCCCAGGAGTCTTGAAGAGGCGGTGGGGGGTTATCAGCTAAGCACACCCTCCTGCCTGCATGCCTGAGCTAAGGGCAGATGGATTCCAGGACATAAATGCTACACGAATCATCTGCCCTTACCCAAGATGGCCACAACCAGAAATGCTAGGGACTGTTTTCCTAAGTGATTTCTCAGCAAAATAAAGCATGGAGACATGGATGGATGGGGGGGTTTGTTTTTAAGTTTAAAGATGAATTAAATAGCAGTTATGGTTTGTGGGGCTCAGATACAGTGTAGTTCCTCTTTAATCTGAACTCAAGGAGAAGGAAATATTCTCCTTTAGAGGCCTTGTAAAAGTAATGCAGCGATGTCACCGTTACTTTTACAAGGCCTCTAAAGGCATTTGGTGTACATTTGTATAATTTTTGCTATGGATGAATATATTTTCTATTAAAGTTTCTATGTCTGGAGTTCAGCTTTAAAGGAAAACTTAATCCAATATATTTTTATTTTCATTGGGTACAGCTGGAAGAGGTTAGTGTCTATGTCACCTTTCTACAGCTGTCTGTGTCATTTTGTTATGAGGACTATCGCCATTGGGAAAGAAAGTGATAGGAAGTCCAAAATTCAATGGTTGTCACCAGAACAGGGAGTGAAGGGGAATCCACTGGGAATTTTCCTTCACTTTGAAGAGATGTCCACTCATATCATGTTGTGTCTCTGGAGCAAGAAGTGAAGGCAATTCTCCCTTTGGGAACACAAGCAGCAATAAAAACCCTCCTCATGCTATCCAGAATTTTAAAAAAAATGGCTGTGGTTCTACTTACACAGCATAAAATAATGACAAAGAAAAATACCTTTATACATGAAAGGAATTTGTGTATGTGACTCTGGAGAAATAGGAAAAGAAGAATAAGTGACTAAACTTCACCTGTGCAAAATATTGGCACAAAGAATGTGAAACTCACCCACCCACAATACCACAAAGTATAGCATTTATAGTATGATGGTCGGGTGGTGCCTATGTTCCCAATAAAATGAGTATAGCTCCTACACTCCTGATGAAGTCAGTTTAGCTCCCACACTCCTGAAGAAGTCAGTATGGCTCCTACACTCCTAATGATATCAGTATAGCTACTACACTTCTGAAGAGGTCAATATAGCTTCTAACTACTGATGAAGTCAGTATAGCTCCCACACTCCTGATGAGGTCAGTATATCTTTTACTCCTGATGAAGTCAGTATAGCTCCTACACTCCTGAGGAGGTCATTATGTCTTTTACACTCCTGATGAGGTCAGTATATCTTTTACACTCTTGATGAAGTCAGTATAGCTCCTACACTCTTGATGAGGTCAGTATATCTTTTTACGCTCCTAATGAAGTCAGTATAGCTCCTACACTCCTGATGAGGTCAGTATATCTTTTACACTCCTGATGAAGTCAGTATAGCTCCTACACTCTTGATGAGGTCAGTATATCTTTTACACTCCTGATGAAGTCAGTATAGCTCCTACATTCCTGATGAGGTCAGTATATCTTTTACACTCCTGATGAAGTCAGTATAGCTCCTACACTCCTGATGAGGTCAGTATATCTTTTACACTCCTCATGAAGTCAGTATAGCTCCTAAACTCCTGATGAGGTCAGTATCTCTTTTACATTCCTGATGAAGTCAGTATAGCTCCTACACTCCTGAGGAGGTCATTATATCTTTTACACTCCTGATGAGGTCAGTATATCTTTTACACTCCTGATGAAGTCAGTATACCTCCCACAATCCTGATGAGGTCAGTATATATTTTACACTCCTGATGAAGTCAGTATAGCTCCTACACTCCTGATGAGGTCAGTATATCTTTTACACTCCTGATGAAGTCAGTATAGCTCCTACACTCCTGATGAGGTAAGTATATCTTTTACACTCCTGATGAAGCCAGTATAGCTCCTACACTCCTCATGAGGTCATTATATCTTTAACACTCCTGAGGAGGTCAGTATATCTTTTACACACCTGATGAAGTCAGTATAGCTCCTACACTCCTGATGAGGTCATTATATCTTTTACACTCCTGAGGAGGTCAGTATATCTTTTACACTCCTGATGAAGTCAGTATAGCTCCTACACTCCTGATGAGGTCAGTATATCTTTTACACTCCTGATGAAGTCAGTATAGCTCCTACACTCCTGATGAGGTCATTATATCTTTTACACTCCTGATGAGGTCAGTATATCTTTTACACTCCTGATGAAGTCAGTACAGCTCCTACACTCCTGATGAGGACAGTATATTTTTTACACTCCTGATGAAGTCAGTACAGCGCCTACACTCCTGATGAGGTCAGTATATCTTTTACACTCCTGATGAAGTCAGCATAGCTCCTACACTCCTGATAAGGTCAGTATATCTTTTACAGTCCTGATGAAGTCAGTAGTCCTGATGAAGTCAGTATAACTCCTACACTCCAGATGAAATCAGTATGATGCAAAACAGAACGGGATTACCCTCCATCATCATGCTGTCTGTTTTCGACCCAACAACTGAAAAATCAAAGGAACTGCTAGAGTGTGTTTCATTAGAAAATGTCTCAGTCTCTCAGTGTGTTTGCTAGTAGTGCCATATGTGCAAATCAGGGGCGGACTGACCATTTGGAAACTCAGGCACTGCCCGAGGGCCCGGGGTCAGTAGGGGGCCCCATGAGATGCCCCTGGTACTTTTTTCATAGGCTTTTTTGAGTTTGGGCAAGGACACAGGGGCCCCATGATCCCCTATTGCCTAAGGGCCCCATGTGTTGTCAGTCCGCCCCTGGTGCAAATAATCTTTTTCTGAACTTTGAGGATATATTATCATCAGCAGATTGGTATTTCAGTCATGGTATATCAAAATGGGAAATAAATCTGGCGTGAGATGGCCTACCTATAATTTTCACATTATGGACTTTTGCAACGGTTGATTTTTCACTTCCATCACTTGTTGATGCGATATGTTTGATGCATTATTTGCATGGTTTTCTTGGTGAATAATTTATTTAGGTTTGACACTTGTTTTGAAATATACCTCCTTTAGTTAAGCTTTCCCTTTCCAGTGCCGTTGTTCAGTGAAGGGTCACCAACCATGCTAGGATCATCTCTGACGTGATCGTCTTAGGTTTGGGAGGCTTTGTGTAAACTTCATCAAATATTTTATTGACACAAGAATACAAATGCCTCCTTCACATGTGACCTTTGTCTGCTGTGATAAAACACAAACATGTCACACGGCCTCCTTAACCTTGGGGATAATTAAGTGAGAGCCCTTGGTCTATTTCTATTGGCCAGGCAGGTCTCCAACTTTTAAGCAGAGGTAAACCCTAAGTAAATAACATTTAGTTTGTGAAATCACTTTGTTTAAAAAAACAATTGCCACTTTTTACAATAAAAAATATTTGTGTTCACCTTTTTTTCATCTTTTGTTACACCTCAATGCTGCTGATCTCCTGCACCTACTCAACAGTCACTTTACATCCACATGCACCCCAGTGATAGCTGCATGACATTTCTCAGTGCTGGTTTCCTGTTGGTGACAACACTGGATCATGCCTGTGTATTTTCTGTTGAAAAGGCCCCTTGTAGTCTCCACTGGAAGCCTGTGTGGTGGGGTGACAACATAGGAGCACTACAGGGAGATGGGGACAGAGCGTTGTCATCCTGTAACAGGAAGTACCCAGACAAGGCCCTTTATGGCAGAGTAACTAGATCAGTGGTTCTTAACCTGGGTTCGATCGAACCCCAGGGGTTCGGTGAGTCAGTCTCGCGGGTTTGGCGGAGGTGAAGACCCACACCCGACTCATATGATTCGTGCAGTAAATATTCATTATTATGTTTTTGTTTTTGTGTGAAAATCATGTTTTAATGGTTTTGTTCTTTGTTCTTAACGGTTTTGTTCATTTTGTGCACCTATGTATAAATATATACCTAAATATATACCTATGTTTTGAATTTTAAAAATCATATATTTTATTTTTCCAATTAAGAAGGGTTCGGTGAATGCACATATGAAACTGGTGGGGTTCAGTACCTCCAACAAGGTTAAGAACCACTGAACTAGATAATATTTTAATATTATCACCACAAAACAGCATATCCATGCCTTGGTTTTATCCCGCCTTGATTACTGCAACTCCCTCCTCACTGGTCTACCGTTACACAGGTTATCCCCTCTTCAGTCTATTATGAATGCTGCTGCTAGCCTCACACACCTTACCAACCGATCGGCGACTGCTGCCCCTCTTGGCCAATTCCTTCATTCGCTTCCACTAACCTAACGTATACAATCCAAAATACTAACCACAGCATACAAAGGCATCCACAACACTGCCCCTAGCTACATCACCAACCTCATCCGCAGATTTCGCCCAAATCGCCCGCTCCGCTCCTCCAAAAACATCTTGCTTTCTAGCTCCCTCGTCCCCTCCTCCTACGCTCGCCT